CCCTGACCCACTAAGAAAGTACTGCTTTGACATCGGTTTAAAATTTATGCAATTCATCTAGAACAACAGCAATGGAAAGCAACCAAAGTCTCCTGCGAAAGCTGAGCATTTGATTATAAAATACAATAAGGAGAAAAGCACTGCAGAATAGTGAATTCCAACTGAAACCAGCGATTGATTTTATGATAGTCCCATGAAAATAATTTATCCCATATTGGAAAAATGCTTATGTGGATCTGAAGAAGGGTCACTGGACCCGAAACATGAACTCTGCTTAATTTCCACTGATGCTGTAAGACCCGAGTTTCCCCAGCAATTCCTGATTTTGTACAATTTGCACAAAATACAATGAGTTTTTTTAATTCATTCACAGGATGTGGGTATCAGCGGCCAAACCAGCATTTATTGCCCGTCACTAAATCCCCAGAGGGTGGTTAGTTAATGGTTGACCACCTTGCTATGGGTCTGGAGTCACATGCAGACCAGACCAGACCAGGTATGGACAGCAATTTCCTTTCCTAAAGGACAAGGTTAGATCACACGGAATAGAGGGAGGGGGTGAGGAGTACAAAACTAGAGGGCATAGGTTTAAGGCGAGAGGGGAAAAGATTTTTTAAAAAAAGGGACCCAAGGACTATTTTTTCCCCCACACAGTGGGTGGTGCATGTATGGAACGTGCTGTCAGAGCAAATGATGCAAGATGGTACAATTATAACATGTAAAAGGCATCCGGATGAGCATATTAACAGGAACAGTTTAAGAGGGATATGGGCCAAACATAGGCAAATGGACCTAGATTTATTTAGGCTATCTGGTCAGCATGGATGAGTTGGACCAAAAGGGTATTCTTCCGTGCCATATATCTCTGACTCTACTAGTGAGCCAGATGGGTTTTTCTGACAAATCGACAACGGTCGCACTGTCATCAGACTCCTAATTCCAGACATTTATTGAATTCAAATTCTACCATCTGCTGTGGCACGATTCAAACCATGGTCCCGAAATCGTTCTTGGGTTAACATCTCTGGATTAATAGTTTAGCAATAATACCTCCAGGCCTTCACTTCCCTAAAATGATGAAAAAAAGCTGCCCATTTATCTTGTTTAAAGAAAGTGAAATTGAGACATCAATGATGGACATAATAACGAAAGACCTCACTTTGGAAATAGTCAGAACTGCAGATGCTGGAGTCAAAGATAAAACCGTGTGGAGCTGGAGAAACACAGCAAGCCAGTCAGCATCAGAGGAGCAGGAAAATTGACTTTTCAGGTCGGGACCATTCTTCAGAAATGGGGAGGGGGAAGGGGGCTCAGAAATAAATAGAGAGGAGGGGTGGGGCTGGGGAAGGTAGGTGGGATGGTGATGGGTTTGTGCTGATGTTTCGGGTCTAGAACCTTCTTCAGAAATGGGGGAGGGGAAGGGGATTCTGAAATAAATAGGGAGAGAGGGGGAGGTGGACAGAAGACGGATAAAAGGAGCAGATAGGTGGAGAGGAGACGGACAGGTCAAGGAGGCGGGGATGAAGCTGGTAAGTAGGAAGTAGGGGTGGGGCTTGAGGTGGGAGAAAGGACGGACAGGTTAGGGAGGCGGGGACGATCCGGGATCCCCTTCCCCTCCCCCATTTCTGAAGAAGGGTCGAGGCCCGAAACGTCAGCTTTCCTGCTCCTCTGATGCTGCTTGGCCTGCTGTGTTCATCCAGGTCTACACTTTGTTATCTCAGATTCTCCAGCATCTGCAGTTCCTACTACCCCCAGATTTTTGTAACTGGTTTTATTCATTCAAGTGGTGCGGGCAACACTGGGTAGGCCTGCGTTTATTGTCCTCCCGTTAAAATTATGATGAGTTACTTTCTTGAACTGCTGCTGACAGCGTAGTGCAAATATACCATAGTGGTGTTAATAAGCCGTTTCCAATATTTTGATCCAGAAAGTTAACATCATTTGTACATCTGCATGGTGCTGCTTGAGGTACGTCCTCCTAGACTCTTCATTTAAACAGGATTCATCTACTACCTGACTTGGTAACCATGACAGAAATAGGGATATGCCAGGCCATGAGCTTACAGAACGTGTTTGAATACAACACCTCACGATCGCCCAATCTGGAGTTGCTAGATCTGTTCTAAACCTATCCCATTCAGCACAGTGATAGTTGCCACACAACATGATACCAGGGGTACCTTCAGTGTAAGGCAGGACTTCATCTCTACAAGAATGGTATGATGGTCACTCCTACTGATACATCTTCTACAGGTAAAAATCAGTAATGATGATTTTCTTCTGTCATTGGTTCCCTCAATCCCAGCTACAGGCCCAGTCCAGCAGCTGTGCCCTTTAGGTACCTTTTCCGCACCAAGCATGCCTCTTCTCAATGTTCTTGTCTTTCAAGATGATCATTGTGAATAAGCATAAATTTGATAAAAACTGCAAAACACCAAACGAGAATAATCTATTTCCTACACCTTGTGAAAGATTTGTGTAAAATATATAACTTTGCAAGGAGTCCTGTAATTTTGCACTTCATCATAATTCCAAACAAACACAAACTCTGAGACCTAGGTCTCGGTCACCCCCTCTATAACTGAATCTTCAACTTCCTGACTTGTAGACCATATAGACAGTGATCAGTAACAACAAGCGACAACACCACCTCCACGATAATTCTCAACACCGAGCCCCACAAGGCTGGGTAGTCAGCCCCCTACTGTACTCTTTATACACAAGCGTGTGTAGCAAAATTCCACCCCAACTCCAATTACAAGTTTGCTGACAGCACCACTATTTTAGGTCAGATCTCAAACAATGACAAGACAGAGTACAGGAAAAAGAGATTGAGTGCTTAGCAGCATGGTATAAAAACAGCAACCTCTCCATCTACATCTGCAAGACAAATGGAGCTGGTCATTGACTTCAGGAAGCGAAGTGGAGGGCAAGCTCCAGTTTGCATCAAAGTTGCTGAGACATAGGTAGTGCAGAATGTCAAGTTCCTGGGAGTGATGATCTCCAACAATCTGTCCTCTACTTCTTCAGGAGGATAAAGAAATTCAGCATTTCCACAAAGGCTCTTACCAATTTTTATGGATGCAACATAGAAACCATCCTATCTGGAAACATCAGTGTGGTATGGCAACTGTTCTTCCCAAACTCACAAGAAACTAGAGTCATGAACATAGCCCAGTCCATTATGCAAACGAGACATCCATCCACTGACTCCATCTACACTTCCTGCCATCTCAGGAAAACTACCAACATAATCAGAGACCCCTCCTGCCCCAGTTACACTCTTCCGTTGGACAGAAGATGTAAAAGTTTGAATACACGTACAAACCGATTCAAGAACAGCTTCTTCCCCGCAGACTTTTGAACAGACCTCTCAAATATTAATGTTGATCTCTCCCTCTGCTCCTTCTCCACAGCTGTAATACTGTATTCTGCACACTGTTCTGCTACCGAGACACTTTTGTACGGTACAAACTGCCTGTAGAGCAGGCAAAACAACACTTTTCAGGTGTATCTTAGTACACATGACAATAAATCAAATTAATTATTTTGCATAGTGGTTCATGTAATAAACTTAGTCATCTTCCCATTTCCAGCAACTTACCCCAATTATTTTTCAAGTTGCCAATAAAGGAAATAAACAGATTTCCAGATATGAATGCATTGGCTCAAAACCATAAAGACTTGTCGGTAACAGCTGTTATTTTTGCCTTACTCCAGCTAAGTTACTCATTTGTTTCCCAATGTAATTTCTTGAAGAAGAAATAACAACAAATATAATTTGAGAACAAGAATGGAGTACAAGTAGTATCAATTTTTTAATACAGTATCAACTACACACAAGCAAAAGTCAATAATATTTCAAATGTACTGATATGATTTTAATGCAAATAAAATTGCTACAAATGGTGTAGGGATGCTCTTAGTTTTTTTGAGATAACATGGCATGTTGAAAACACAATCAAAATAACATAAGTAAAACCAGATTTATTACAGAAACAAACATCAAAAACATGCTAAACCATGATAAAACACTAACTAGGACTCAACGGGATATTGTATCTACTTCTGGGCATCGTGAAGGATGCACTGGCCTTGGAGAAGATACAGAGACTGTTTTCTGGAATTGTAAGCAGGGGGCGGACTTCAGCTACGTAGGAAAACTGGAAAAGGTAGAGCTGTTTGTCTTAGAAGACGGTGGGGGGGGTGCGGTTAAAGTAGCATTCAAAATCACAAATGGTTTAGATTGAGTAAACAAGGAAAAACATTCCAGCAAAAGGGTCAGTTACCAGAAGAGATTCGAGATGGCAAAAGAACCAAAACCAGTGAAAAGGGTGATAAATGCAAATTCAATATTAATATTTAAAAGGAACAATAATAAAATTTAGAGGGGTCAGGGGAAAAAGGGCAGGAGATTCACCGAATATCTCTTTCGAGCATAATGGAAAGTAATGGACTTTTCCTGTGCGGTTTCGTTTTATAATGATAAACAGAAGAACTAGAACAGTGCTGGAGTTGAAGTAGGAGTAAGATTACTAAAGGCATCAAAGTTGAATTACTAAACCTGCAGATTGCATAACATAACAAATTCAACTGAATTGCTAAATAATTTCAACATTCACATTCCCTGAGTTCAAGTTCCAATTTTGGCTGGTCTTACCCATGAGTAAACAGAATTTATTTTTACATTAGGCAGGGGGAATTGTGCCCTAACCATTAATAACTTTCTAATGCAATTGATCCAAGCCTTAGTAATTTCAATTTACCTAAAATTCTTTAGAATATGATGAACTGGCAAATTAAGGGCCTTCATCAACTACTGAGCAATAATCAGTAAGTTCTAATGGGCAGATGCATTTGTATTATGGGGTATACTAAACCACAGGCCACAATTCGCATATACACTTTAAATGATCTATTTTGAGTCCTTTGCAGATTCACACGTAGAAACATACAAATAGAAAAACTACAAATACATAAACAAATTGTTTGACACCTACCTTTAGGCCAACTGTAACATCAGTAAGAATACTGTAAGAGGAAGGCATCATATTGTAAAACCAGAATTTCATTCATATCACAATCAAAACGCCCAGTTACTATTGATTCAACAGTAAAAGATACTCAGTAAACTACTAGGCATTAAAGTTTTTTTTTGGTACGTGTGCGCGCGTTATTTATTATGCCTTTTATAAAACAGAACTGCTGACTGCACAATCTGGCTCGGAGCCATTGCTGAAGACCCGTTCTCCATATGCCTGACGTTCTTTCAAATATCACATCCCTCTCCTTGTTATTAACTGTTCCATCCGAAGGTTTTGACGTTAATAAAATAAAATTTCCCTTTACAAAATAAAAAGGGGCGGAAGCCCAGTTGATCGGAAGCAGTACAAGTAACTATGTAAATGAAGCAAAAACCGTTTAAATGGTTTATTTTGCGGGAAAACACAGAGCGGATGGGAAGA